CAAAACAACACCAAATGCTACTGATACAGATGGGTTCCTAGAACACTCACCTAGCCGAGGAAGCCTGTACTGCAAGGGGCCTGCCCTCCAGAAGATAATTCCAGTTTTGTTTTGTCTTTGTTTTTGCATCCCAGTCACATGCCCAGGCTGCCTGCTGCAGGGCACTTTTTGTAAATCAAACCATTAGCTTCTGCCAGGTTCTGCCTTCTCTGCAGGAACACCTGATATGCTTAGATATGGGGACTAGCCGTTTTCCAGCTCCTGTAACCCAGAGCCTGTTAAGGGATGGCATTTTGCTTGTGTGTGTGTATGTGTACCGGTGCATGCTATTATTCTGTCAGAAGGACACACTGCTTAGAGCAATTTCTCCTGATCCAGGTGGGCAAAATGGTGTGAGAGGCAGTCACAGTTCTTCTGTATGATAATAAGTCCTTTACTGCAAGAGGGCTTTGGGAATAAAAAGGCCCTTGAGTCCAGGCCCATATCAGCACTTCTCTGTGACTGGCTGAGGCAGATCTAGAGCCTCATATGCGTTTGCTTGGCAGCCCTGGGGAGTCTGACCTCGCTCCCCGTGATTCTTCGGGGGCACTGTCACCACTCTCCCTCACACGGACTGTAAGGCGTACAGGTAAGGCTGCACCATCAATATTCATTCACTCTTGAAGCCAGTGTGATTTTCATGACTCCTTTGGTGGCAAGTGACAGAATCACAACTCAAAGCAGTGCAAACAAAAATGAAATTTCCTTGCTCCAAAGGTTAACAGGGAAATGGAAGGGGTGAAGTTGGTTTTAAGGCCAGCTCAGACCCCTGGGAATGCAAACTGAGCAGTCGCTACTTTCTCTCAATCTCCCGCCCTTCTCTGTTGAGTCTTCACCTTCACATGGTCTCTTCCTATCCAGCAGAGAAGGCCTTTGCTGCTCCAGGCCTGCACACCTTTGTAGCAGAGGTTCCAGGTGACAAAAGCAGGCCTCTCTCCCTGTGGTCCCCACCAGCCCAGAGCGGGCACTGACAGCCTGGGTAACCACCCGATCTAAGAATGAGGAAGATGCCGAGGGGTCAAGTGCATATCGCCTCTGCAGCTGGGTGCTGTCGCTGAGGCATATCATTCCTTCCTTGCCACCCTATGAAATGAGTGCTCTTATTTCCATTTTGTAAGTCTAATTTTACATGGTGTGTTAATTTGCTAGGGTTGTATAATAGAATACCACAGTCTGGGTGGCTTAAACAATGGACATTTATTTTCTGACAGTTCTGAAGGCTGGAAGTCCAAGAGCAAGGGGTGAGTAGGGTTGGTTTTCTTTGAGGCACTTCTCCTTGGCTTGCAGATGGCTGCCCTCTTGTTGCCTCTTCATGTGGTCTTCCCTCTGTGCACGCATTCCTAGTGTGGCTCCCTGTGTCCTAACCTCCTGCTTTTACAAGGACACCAGTCAGATTGGGTTATGGCTCACCTGAGCAGCCAAATGTAACTTAATCATATCTTTAAAGACCCTACTTCCAAGAACAGCCACATTCTGAAGGAGTGGGGGTTAGGGCTTAAACATAGGGATTTTTGGGCGGGGGGCACAATTCAGCCTATAACCTGTGCCTTGGTAAAGGGTGAGGCTGAGTCTGGCCATGGTGCTAAAATGTCCCTGAAGAAGCTCATGGAGGTGCCCACAAAGGCAAAGACTTTATAACCCAGAGCAGCAAGGGAAGGCATGGTACCCAGTGCAAACCTTAGGAAGGCCCAGGGACTTTTTGTCACATGGTGCGGGGACCCAACTGGTGGTGCAGGGCAGTCCAGGCTCCCTGAGGTGGGTGGGGTCAACCCGGCCCTGATGGATCATCGGAGTGGCTGTGTTCTCTCTCTGGGGCATCTTCCGCTACTGTTCTCTTGGGCTCCCCAAAGACGTCAGGAGGAAATTGAGAGAATCCATGTCTTGTCCATCTCCATTCTCATCAAAGACAGCAGTGTTTCCCAAAGTGTGGCATTCAGACTACTGGTGAAGATGTGAGTTGCACCAAGATGTTACGTAGGCCAAAATATTTAAAGACTTGATGAATGTGTCTGAATTTATGTTTAAAACACATAACCAGTCCTTATAAACTTAAAATTTTAATGCTATTACTTAAAATAGAAACATTAGGTATAAATTAATTGAAAGAAAAATATTCTCTAAGTAGCACTGAATAAATCAATGACCTTATGAAAATCTTGAGGGTGGTATTTGAATGACTGAAAATTGCCTGAGAAGGAAATACGTTTGGTTGCGGGCATAGATGTCGCTTGACTTTTGTGGCCTGGTCTGTCTGCACACTTGGCCCTAATTTGCACTGAGGGCCAGTCTCGGGGGTGACTGCAGGCCTTTGGTTCCTCCTGCCTGTGTCCCTCCCTGTCAGTTGGACCAGACCCAGTGAAGAGGCAAGTGGGCTCTTGGGTTCTGGATTTTACTTACTTTTAAAAAGAGTCTCACTTTGGGGCTCTGAATGGCTTGGAAGGAGCTCATCGCTGTGTATATAAAAGCAGGTGTTCATCACTGCGTTGTCAAAGCTTTTAGCAACTCAGAGTCTGATATGGAATGGAGTATTTAAAACTTAATTCCACATGGAGGATTAGCAGAGTTGGCATAATTTTGCCATGTTAATTGCTATGAACTTTAGCAGTGCTTTGTTCTCCTTAAGCTGCCCTTCTGCTTCATGCTTGGCTCTGTTTGGTGGCCAGCTGCAGCTGCTGACACTGTTCACAGGTGGTCCTCATTTTTTGCACCAGGTGCCCGATGAGGATGAGCATTTCCAGGTGCAGTGGCACTGGCTGCTGTTCGAATGCTCAGTGGGCCTGTTTCCTTGGGTGCAAAAGGTGGCTGTTGTATTGACATTATGCTCTAACCTATGATTTCTATCCACCCCCATGTATTTTGCTTTATTAATGTAAGATTGCCCCCCAGTGTCCAAAAAAGTTATGTGCATGGGGAAAGGGTACCTTTCTAGAACTTAGAAAGTCCGACACAAAACGGTGTTGTGTTTGGCCATGAAAGGATGGTTGTTTGGAGCAGTGCTTCTCAAACTTCACTGGGTGTGTGAATCATTAAAGAATTAATGATTATTATCTTATTAAAATACGGAGGTGGGGCAGACTGAATAGGTCGGGAAGGAGACAAAGCACTTCTCACAAGCGCCCCGGCGACTCCAGTGCTGCGGGATGGGGAGCACACTTCAGGAGCGAGGCTCGGAGTGCTCCTCTCCGTACCTGTGTCCAGGATGTTACAACCACAGTGCAAGCCCGGCAATCTACACAAAGTCTGAATGCGTAAGAGGTGTCGTTCTATACCCTCTGCACGTTCTGGCCCCTCCTCACCTTCCTTCCTCTTCTAATCTCACTCTCCTCTTCACTTGCTTCCCTTGGCACTTTCAGATTCCCTAACCCATCAAGCTCATCCCACCCCGGTGCCATTGCAGATGCTGTTCTCAGAGCCTAGAGTGCTTCTCACCCCACCTTCCCCCCTTCATCCTTCAGTAAATATGCCGAGTGAGGTCCTTTCTGCTCCTCTCTCCAGCACCCTGTCTGTTGTCGCTGGACCATTACCTTCATGTACTATCTCTTGTTTTATTTACTCAGTTATGGCCTGTGTTCTCCTCTGGACCAGAGCTCACACTGCCTTGCACGTTGCAGGATCCTCAGTGCTTCTGCCTGGCAGCTGTACTCCATAAGTAAACATGTGTTGAGTGCAGGCATAGGTGGGGAGTGAAGGAACACCCTTGAGCACCTTTTGTACATTGGAGTTGGCTGTCTGGAGGTGCTGGGGTCAGGTGATACTTAGAAGACTCATAGAATGAGAGGTCAGGAAAAGAGCCACTTTTGAGCCATATTTCTTCTTCAGAGATATCAAAGTATAAAAAAGTGTCTCTCTTAGACTAGATGAAATATAGTAAGTCTTACATTTCTTAAGCAGAGTTTTGCGAAAGTAGTATATGAATCACTGAATTAAACAAAGGAATGCAGGACTTTTGGCTGTATGCATTGTGAGTCTGTAAGGGGAGGTACAGTGGCTGTGGCAGAGACTCTGTGATGAACTTACCTGCAGGCTGTTCCTTGTCTCTGTCCTGTTTCTCTTCTTTGTCAGCAGGATGCCTGCCCCCCACTAGAGAGGCTGGAAATGCCCAATGCTCAGTTTCCCAGCCTTCTCTGCAGCAAGGTCGCAGGTCTATGTCCTAGTTCTGGCCAGTGGGAGCTGCGGAGAAGTCTACTGAGGAGTTCTGGGAAAGTAAAATTTCTTTCCTTTTTTTTTGATGTGGCTGTGTGAGGACATGATGGCTACAGTTACAGCAGCTTTTTGTAAACATGAGGGGTCACACTGGAGGACACAGTGAAGAGATGCAAAAGAAAACTTGGGCTCCTGGTGGAATCACTCGGCTACTTAATCCACTAACTCTGCACCTTGGACTTCTGTTTGTGCAAGACAATCTATTTTCTCATTGTTTAAGTCACTTTTAAGAAGGCATTCTTTACTTGGAGCTGAAAACATCCTGACTGATAAGAGTGGACAAGCTGGTCCCTCCAGTTGGGCCGACTGGACTTGGTTCCTGGCTTTACCATGGTAATTATGTATCCTCGTCAAAACTGTTTCCTCATCTGTGAGCTAGAGAGAAGAGTAATGACTATCTCTTGGGCTGCTACAGAGGCTTAAATGAGATGGTGGATGTAAATCCCTCCACACAGAACTTGGCTCATTGTTGGTACTTAATAATGAGGAACTATTACTATTATCGTTATTATTTTTTTATTATAGACTCTTATTTGTCATTGGAACATCCTCTACCATCTCACAGGACTCCATGTTCTGTAGGAATCAATCTGGGTGATGCTAACCATGTTGAGTTTTCTTATTCTACAGAAGGAGAAACTAAGGCCAAGGGAAAGCTGTTCTCTGGACTCTTTTATTTTGAAAAAATGTTCATGGTTCAGCCTCATCCCTTGTCACTTATTTCCACTCCCACTACAAACAACAGAAGGACACAGGTCTGGGGTTGAAATCATGTGCCTTTATGGGAAACAAAAATACCCACAACAATAACAAAAGCCCTTCAAATCGTGCCAAGTTCTCAACCAGTGATAATGAGGCAGTTTCAATGATTGCATCTGGCTGGGGACGTTTCTAAAGGGTCAAGAGAATTAAAAGACATTGACCATAAAGAGAAGTAACAGAGAGGGTTGATATTTTAAATGAGAGCATATTAGACCTCCTTTCTGGCTCCACATCCTTTTGCCCTTTTGTTATGGTCTCCTCCCAGCTTACAAAGTCATTTCCCGAACTTTGCTCAAATGCAGTCTCTTCCGAAAGCTCTCCTTCATCTGCACCAACTGCAATGCCTTTTCAGTAATGCCACAACCATTTTCTCATGCCATCTCCTATCACTTCCGCCTCACATCCATCGTGTCTGAGCACATGCCTTATGATACCTAGTGTTGGTAGGCATGTCCCCCAGACCAGGGCCCATGTTGAGCATCTCAGGGCTCCCACCGCCCTCTCCCACTCAGAGCTCAGTATACAACAAGTGCTCGGCATCAGCAGTGAGTGTTTGTTGAAGTCAGTTCTACCTTTGCCATGTTACATCACCAGCCTCTTGAGAGTCCTTATTGTCATTTTCACTTAGTATTCCTTCCTCCAAGACCTCAAAACTGCCTAACTCAAGGTATCTCCAGGAAGGTACAGCCCCCACTGAACATCACCAACTCAGGGTAGAAGGTCTGGAAAGGGGAGGAGAGAAGGCTAAGCATTCACCCCTGTTCCAGGAGGCAAGGAAGCAGGAAAAGCAGCCCCTGGGGAAATCCAGGATGATTGTGAGTGGTGTTGACCAATGCTTCATTCTGGAATCTCATTAAGCAGTCATTCTTCAGAAAGTTTCTGCAGTGAAACTTGGCCAGCTTTGCAGTGGGCATCAGGGACTGGTTGGGTTACCTTGCCAAACCCAGGACCAGCAGGCACAGACCAGGAACCTCTCTTTGAAACATGACCTATGTTACCTTGAGAGGGATGTTAGAGGTTGTCTGTCTAGTTGTTCGGTTAGAGCTATGGGGGGAACGTTAGCCCTGCGGTGTGTTGAGTTGTCAGGCACATAGATCGTAGTAAGGCTGAAGAATACAGCGGCAGTGTGGACCTCCCCTCCAAAGTGGGAAGGGTTGGGAGGTGCTAGAAGCAGTAAGGGAGAGAGGAGGGTCTCAAGAGGTCCTGCAGCTCCGGTTCTAACAGGTGCCTGCTCTATCTTCTGCTCCTGGCTCCTACTCCTTTTCTCTGGTTCTCCAGCGCCAGACAAAGGGGCCAGTTAGAAGTGGTGGAAGAAAAGGAAGTGGCTTTTCTTTTTCTACTGTGAGTCATAGACTTGGATCAGGGAGAGGTTAGGGTCAAGGACAGAAGAAGGATTGAAGAGCTGAGGCCCTGCCCACTTCTGTTTACTGCCGTGAGGAGTTGGTCTGAGCTCCACACTTCTAACTGCATCCCCCTCAGAGAGCACTGAGCTCTGAATTGTGGGTGATGAGAACATTCTACGAGGGCTCTGCAAGGTGCTCAGTGTCTTTGGGAGGGGGCTGTGGATCCTCCCATGGGAGGGCCCCTCTGGGGCCAATAAGATGTGAAAACCAGAAGGTCAGCATCCACCCTGGAGACTGGGGAATAGAGCCAAATAACAGACAGAAGAGACTTCTTCAGGCACCTCCATTAGGAAAGAGGGTTGGACCTTGGGGGACTCAAGTTAGATGTTAGATGTTTCAGTATAAAAAGGATCCCCATTAAAAGGATGGGCATCCCTTCACAAACCCCATTGCATTAGAAAAGAGAAAGTAAGGAGCATAAAAATATCTTGATGATGCGGGCTTGCCTGACAGTCCAGAAAAGCGAGTCTCATGGCAGGCAGTGTGTCCCATTACACAAGGGGATTATACAGAGCTTCAGTATAGAGATTTTACATATATCTTTATATAAACACATATATATTTATAGAGCCTCTGTCTAGAACAGCCGGGCTTGCTTCTTCAGTTCATTCCTCTTCCAGAGGGCCAGCCGGTCAAACTCAGAGATGGTCATGCCAAAGACTTGGTAGAACTCTTCCTGGGATAGGTGGCGCTAAAATGAAGTGGGAGGGGACAGAGAAAAAATCAGCTTGAGGATGTGAGATGCAGGCTGGGGGCAGGTGAGGCAGGAGGGGTCGTGGTGCCTGGCATAGTGTCTGACCCACAGCAGGTGTGTGACGAATATTTGTTGAGTGGATAAATGCACAAATGAATGTTTCTTCGGAGGGACCTCTGGAGCTGGTCTGACTGCAGAGGCTGCTCCTGCTTCAGATTCAGGTGCGACTATGCTTCACCTAAGTGCCCTAGCTGCATCCTGGTTGACCTCACCTTTCTGCATCCCTACTCCATGCACTCATTCTGTGTTCAGGAGTGTGTATGGATTAATGTAACACCTCTGTCCTTTGGAAGAAAAGGGAGGTATAGCCAAGATTTTAGGGTGAATTTCCTCTTATTAATATTTTTATAAATGATCTGGATGGCTGTTCCTCAGGCTGGTCAATGAAACAATACTACTGTTCATATTTCTCCACCCACTGAAATGGCCTTTCATCTCTTTCTTATGTGAAAACAAACAGGCCATAAAACGAAACAATGTTCTGAATTCCAGGCCAGTTCCCCCACCCCCACTTCCTGACTGCTCTGCCTATTCTCTCCCACTTCCGCTCAGTCTAAAAAGTTGGTCTATTGTTAAAAGCTTTGAGATTTAGAAATACACGGCACTTAACATTTGGCAAAATGTTAACAATTGGTGCATTTAAGTGAAGGGTAGATGGATGTTCATTTTACTATTGAAACTTTTCTGAAGTTCTGAAATTTTCAAAATAAAATTTAAAATTATGTTTCAGGAGAGAAATAGATGGCATATATCCTGCCTGAAAACTTGCTGGAATTGCTGAGATGACCTGTGGGTAGCAATTATATTAGCTAATTGACTCAGTGCAGTCCGCTGGTGCAGGGGCCAGGGCAGTGTCCTTTGCCCAGTGATCTCAACTCGGGCAACAAGCTAGACATTCCTGTGAGCATCTGAAAAACACTGATGCCTGAGCTCCTTCCCCAGGCTGCAGTTTAATTGGTCTAGGGTGGAGCCCTGTGTTGGTATTTTTAAAAAGCACCAGAATTGGTGATTCTGAAGCTTAGGGAAGTTGTGCTTCCCAGGTCTGAGCTTCTGGGAGTCCTGGAGGGTGTAGGAGAATAATTGGTCTTCCAGGATGAACATTTCCATCCCTTAACGCTGCCGCTCCCCTGAGCTGCCACGGGAGCTGTCCCCTTCAGCACTGCCAGACTCTCTCACTGCCAGACCCTAGAAGGAGGCCCCAGTTCCACATGTGGGCTGAATCATCTGCTTCCTTGCTGTTACCCCAGCACGCTAGAGCAGGAAGGACTCATGCAGCTTTCCGAGCCACTGACATCCCCCTCCTACTGCCCCAACCCTCCCTCTAGGCTGGGTGAATTCCTTGGCTGTCAGGTTAAGGTGGTGCTTGTCCTGCCCCAAGGAGCACTGAGCCTCCTCTCAGAACGAAGCCTGCATTTGAGTTTGCAAACATTTCCTGACGCCTTTCCCAGTCCAGGCCATGTGGAAGATGACAGACGATCTTTGGCAGGCAGAGGAAATGGATCTGCACGCTAGACAGACGGCCGGGGGAGGCTGGACGACAGGCGAGTGACACATCCTGGGGCAGGCGCAGGGAGGTTTGGGGCACAGGCATCACTAACTGGAAGGCAGCCCTGAGGAGGGAGGAGGCTGGCGAGATGGGAAGGGCGTTTGGGGGAGAGGCAGGAAGAGGCCCTTGTGTGGAAAGGACAGAGTGTGCTCCTGCGTCAGAAATGACCAGGCACTGGAACTACACACCAAATATACTGGGCAGTTCAAAAGCCCAGTGCCACCACTGTGCCTTCATGTATGCTGTTCCCCCTGCATGATGTCTTCCCCTTCTCCATCCATCCAACCAAACCTTCCTGCCTGCAAGTCCAGCTAAATCCTTCCTTTTGGCAGAAGCTGGTCATCTGGCCCAGCCTTAGTGGTCTTCTCTGAATCAGAGCGATCACACATCGGCAGGGTGTTTACTCCCCAGGACACTGCCTGACTCAATGCCAAGGGCTCTTTGAATATTGTTTCATTATGTTACTAGGCTATTGAGGGAAGCACGACCATCACCCCACTTTGTAGAGGAGAGAACTAAGGTTTAGAGAGGTTGTCACTTGGCCAAGCTGCCCACCTAGGGGTGGCAGGATCAGGGTGGGAAGCGAGGGTGTCTGCCTCGGGACCTTCTTATAGTTTTACCTCTGCACAGTGCTGCACCCACCCACCTCATCCCAGCACTGGTTTTCTATACAATGCTGCCTAAAACCAGTGCTGAATTTCTTATCAATGAGACGACAGGCCTCTGAGCAGGGACCAAATGTAGCTCTCCTCCTATGTCTTCAGAAGAGTCACCTCAGGCGGGACACACTGAACCTGTGTAGCACAGATGCTAACCGAATTGAGGAGGCAGCACAGAGCACCATGGGACAGTCCTGGGCTAAGTACACTGGGGTGGAGCCTCTGCTTTTTCAACAAGCTGTGTGACCTTAAAGCCACGCATGTCACTGGCCCTTCCTGAGCTGGGTTAGACCAGGCAAGGGCTGGAGTCCCTTTGAACCCAAAGGCTCCTGATCAGTTTTCTCCACTGACCTCCAAACGTGTCCGGTCCACATCCTTGGGCAGCCGGTTTCTCCCTCTCGTGGTCACCAGCAGTAGTTCGTAAGGGTAGATCTAGGGAGAAAGGAAGCGGTGGGGTTTGCTGGTTGGGCAAGGGTGGTGGGCTCGTCCCTTTGACCAGATTTTATGTCTGGCCTCCCTCCTCTACCCAAAAAGGGCCGGTGGTTAAAGACTGGAGGGACGGTCGGGTTTGCCTTTTTGGGGTGGCCTGGCAGCCTCAAGTTGCCTTTTCCCAAAAGGCAAGGCCCCAGAGTCCCTTGATCTGCTAGGGATAAGCTTGGTGGCATTTGGTATGAATGTGGACACAAGTCTTCCTGAATGCAAATATCTTAAATGGTGATTTGGAAGCCTCCAGAAAGTCTTTGAGGTCTATATGGAACTGTCTGATTTTAGGAGGCAAGAGTCATGGGGAAGGACTTAGGGAAAGTGGGCCTGGGAACTGGATATGCTGGCCTTGAGAGGAACCCTGGGGCTGTATATTGATGTCCCCGTTCCCAAATAGACAGTGCTGTTATTCTCCTGCTGGTCCCCAGTGTGGCAGCTCCTAGTGTCTCAGAGACCTCCTGGGTCTGTGGGCTCCTTTACCTTGTACTCTGCAAGGAGAAAAGACACACACACACAAATGGAAACATATTGGTCTTTGCTTTGCATCACTGTACTGGCCTCTGTCTTAGAGACCCTGTCCTTGCTGAATTCATTCCAAATCAAGTCTGGTAGGAGTACCATGGGTGGCTGGAGAGAGGGGTTGGGCTGATCCAGAGATATAGTTTTAGGGGAAAAATGACCTTTGAGATATTTAGAGGGGAAATAAGATGAATCTAAACCACATGGGCAAGACCCTCCATCTTCTGGGGGTGGTCCTCCAAGGTTTTAGGTGAGCTGCCCTGCCACCCCAGCCTGCTTGTTGGAGCTGGGGGAGGCTGGCGGGAGACCATCCCTGGCAGACAGTCCAAAGCTCACGGAGTGTTTGCTGGGAACAATGTGCATTGGGCTCTGAGTGTTTCCCCGCACCCAGAGCAGACGGGCAACTCTATCTCAGCAGTCCTGGGACGCAGTGCTCTGGATGGTTCTGGGAACCCAGATGGGGCAGCTGGCCTGGAGATCATCCAAGGCCAGGGATTTGAAAGGATGAGGGGTGAGCAGTGGAAAAGGGAGGGGCTGGGAAGTGAAAGGGAGTGGGAACTTGGGATTTGGATGGACCCCAGCACAGAGCCTGAATGTGTAGCAGGCATTTGTTGAGGGTCATGCTGCAGCCACGAGCAGAGTACCCACCCCTGCGAGTTCCAGGGCGCCCCCCCTGCCCCCCGGCACTCACCTCGCATGCCCCAGTTGACGGCATTCATGCTGTCGTAGTGGAAGAGGTCTGCGCTGGGCGTCTGCAGGGGAGACAGAGCCAGGGCTGGCCTGAAGCAGGCTCACCGCTGCCTCCTGGGAGTACTCACCTATCCCCAGAAAACGGACCAGGGCACCTGGGACGGGGGCCCTCGCAGAAGCCTCAGTCTCAAGTTGGGGTAATTTACCTCGCTGCCAAATCTCTAGTGCCCAGGACCAGCACATAATAAGCACTCAGTAAGTGTTCACTTATTGGCAAATTACATCTCATGCTTTCTTTCATGAGACCTGCCCTGGCAACCCTGTTTAAAAATGCAGGTTGCCCTCTCCTCAAATTCCCAATCTCCTTTATTCAGCTCAACATTTTCCTCCTTGTCCCCATAGCACTTATTACTTTCTACATCCTGTTAAATTTGACTTGTTTGCTATTTACCACTTGTTTTCTGTTTTTCCTACAAAAGTGGAAGCTCTAAGGGGCAGGAGTTTTTGTCTTGCTTGGTCACCGATGTATTCCAGGCACCTGGAGTGCTGCCTGGTGCGTATAAAATACTGATGATAAATACCTACTGCGTGAATGAGTGTTCAGGCTCGGAGTGTGCAGAGGACAGGGCCTGTGTGTGCTCCGGCAGGGCAGGCTTATTAACGCCAGCTGCCATTCCCCAGTGGTGCTCATATCCCTTTGTGTGCTTGACGCTCCCACAGAATAACGGGTCTCCGGCTTCCACCTCTGTCCTTCTGCAGTCTCTAGTCCGTACAGCAGTGGATGGACCCACTACACCTCTGAGTCAGGTCAGGCACAGTTACTGGAAACCCTCTGAAGTCCTTACTGGTGTGCAGGGCCCTACTGACCCTCCTGTCAGGCTCCATCCCCATGCTCACTCCGTGCCGGCCACACGTCCTCCCCATCCAGGGCCTTTGACACTGTCCTACCCTCTGTCTGAATGGCTCTTGCTGGTATTCAAGCAGTGAGGTCCCTCTGAGTCCTTAGGACTTGCTTAGATCCACCCCCTGCTGACTGCCTTCTCTCTCTGCCCCGAGGCTTTGAGTTCCATCTCAGCACTACGATTACCTGACTGCAAACCACACCTTTTCTTGCTGGTTGCCTGTCTCCCCAACTAGAACTGAAGCTCCCTGGGAACAGCAGCTTTATTTACTGCAGGACCCCCAGCACCTAGAACAGTGCCTGGCACTTAGTAGGTGCTCAGTTAATAAACATCTACCTCAATGTTCCTGCTTTCCCCCATCATCTGTCTAGTCACGCAGCTCCTCCTCTTGCTAATAAGATATTTTTTTATTCCATTTTGGTCCTGAAGCCAGCTCACTGTTTCTGTGAAGGTTTTATACAGCAGGCCACTGAAGAGCTTAGAGGGCTCCAAGCCATGACAGGCAAGTGGAGCAGGCAGTCGGGTGTGGCTGTGAACTTGGGTCCTGGCTCTTTACCTACTGGGTGTGAGACTGAGCAAGCCACCCCCCCCACACTCCGCTCCATGCCTCCATAGTAACTGCTTTGTAGGGTAAATGAGTTAGCACTTGTACAGTGCTTAGCACAGTGCCAGGCATCCGCCAACCCCTCCCATGGGGGCACCTTAACACTACAGGGAGGACAGCCATCACTGCCTTGGGTCCCTTCAGTTAGTCCACCTCTAGCCCCAAGGCCTTTGCCAGGGTTCCACCCTTAGTAATCACTGTAATCACCGCAGCAGCGAACTAATCCTGGAATTGCCAACACTGTGGGGGCAATGGCCCTGCACGGCCTCTCTTACCCTGTGCAGCCCATTTCTTCTGTAGGCAGGCAGGGAGGCAGACTTGGAGATGAGGGGATCTGAAGAGAAGGAGCAAAACAGTCACTAGGGGCCCCAGGCTGGGGGACCCTCTCCCTAAGCTCATCTGGCTGCAAATGGCCAGTATTACCCCCTAACTCCGAGGTGAAGTGGCCGTAGCCGGGGGCCTCCAGACCCTTCCATTGCTCTCCAGGTTATAACTGATCATCTTAGGGGTCCCTCCCCTGGCAGATTTCTAGGCCCACCCCAAGCACCCATTCACACGGTCTTCTGCCTTGTCTTGCACATATCTGGCCTTTTATGAGGCACTCCTCTCCTGCCCAGAGGGTGGCTCTGGACGAAGGCTCTGGAATTGGAGTTGAGCTTGAAACCCAGATGGGTGAGTTCTCACATGGGCGGAAGAAGCGCACCCTCTTTCTTTCCTGCTGGGAGCTACTGGGCATGTCAACCCTGGTTCTAGAACCAAAAGTTGAGGCCTACCAACTGACAAACACAATGGGGTGGACTGTTTGAGAGGAGGACTGTGCTGGCACATCCTCACTATCTGCTTATCGTAACTATGAGAGACCTGCACAGGCTCAGTTTGTCCCTCACAGGACACCCTGGGCTGAAGGTGGGGCAGGCAGAACATACCACTGTCAGCCAGGTAGTGGGACCGAGGGGCTGCAAGAGAGAAGAGCCAGAGATCAGTGTTCATGGGGACAGACAGGCATGTGGATAGTTAATGGGGCAAACAGGCATGACTCCGACACCTGGGCCACCCTGGCTGGAGGGGCCTCTTTCATTACCTCCTTTCCCACTGGTCAGTTTCCAATCATTGTATTGCACCTCATCCTTGTGCCCCCTCCCAGCTCCTAGCCCGGCACCTGGTACATAGCAGGAGCGCTGCGGTATCTGCTGCACCGATGCCGCTCAGTGGTGCTGCATTTTGAGCAGCACTGGTAGTGTACTGCACAGAGCCCAGAGGCAGGGGTAGAAAACAGCGCCTCAGTGGTCAAAGGGGGAACCAGGCCCCTCAGTTCATCCTGGCTCTGCTTTTAGTAGATACCTAACTTCTACAAGTTTCTTAATCATGCTTCCGTTTCCTCATCTATAAAGTGGGGAGGGAAGATGTCTCCTTTATAAGGTGTTCGTGAAGAATATATGACATAGTACAGAAAGGTACTAGGACAGTGTCTGGCACATAGGAAACATTGAATAAAACTGGATTTATCATCATTACAGCCCCATCATCTTTAATCTCACCCAGAGTCAAGGTGATTATCCTTGATTAAGTTACTATCCATCAACTATTGGTCTGCATCCATCAAGTATTGACAAGTGTGTCAAGGTGATTTTATTCTTGACCAGGTTATTATCCCCCAAGTATTGACTTGAGACAGGATTTCCTGGCAGGACTGGCTCCCACAGGGGTAGGGACAGGAGGAAGATGGCACATGTATGTGCCCAGGAACAGGGAGGAGATTACAGTGAGAGACTCTCAGGGCAAAGTGCTTGACCCAATGCTCTGCTTGTGTACCTCTAGTGATAGGAGAATCACTATCTCAAGAGTAGTAGTAGTACCTTATATCTTTGAGCCATTCAAACGATTAGAAGATCATTGGAAGTCACTGCTTCAGATACCCAACAAGCAGAATCGACTGCTCAGGGCAGAGCATGGTCTTACTTAGTGTTCCACACAGCCCCTTGCCAAGTCTGTATTCTAGAACCCAGTGAGACTGTAGGAGTCAGATTCATTGACGGAGTGGGGAGGTAAAAGCCCACATCCAGTGGCACTTACAGCCATTGAGGGACATGTCATAGCCAGCCGTGTGCAGGGCCTCCCGGCTGCTGGTGGAGCTCCTGGGCGGGGTCCAGGGATCTGCGTAGGAGCTGGACCGGGCCTTCATCTCCTCTTTCAGAATCAGGCGGCCAATTCCACTCTGCAGCTGGGCAGTGAAGGAGAAGTAAGATGAAGTCAGGAGGAAGCAGAGAGCACTGAGGTGGAACATGCTTAGGAAAGGCTGAGTGACTGGACTCTCTCTGGTGACTCTCTGTCGTTTTTGCTTCCCAATGTCCCTCCCTCCTTGCAGCACCCATGTTTCTTTTTGGGAGTTCATCTTTCTTTCACAAGTGGCCCTCTGGCCTGGCTGGGACTCTGACAGTGGGCACAAAAAGCAGGTCTGGCCAGCGACAAAACTGCATTGCCTTGGCCACAGTGATAGGTGGAGTGATGGGCAGGCGGCTCCAGCTGGGCCAGGAGCGCCTTCCCTGGGACTCTGGTTGGAATCGCTAGCACCCGTCTTTCAAAAGAAGTTTTTTTAGAGAGGTGAAATTCATATAATATAAAGTTAACTATTTTAAAATGAATAATTCAGTGGCATTTAGTACAACTACCATCTCTCTAGTTCCAAAACTTTTTTATCACCTGCAAAAAGACCCTGAACCCATTAAGCAGTCACTTCTTATTTCCCTCTCCTCCTGGTCCCTGGTCATCACCAATCTAGGTTCCGTTTTTACAGATTTACCTAATCTGGATATTTCATGTGAATGAGATTGTACAATACATAGGCTTTCGTGTCTGGGTTCTTTTACTAAGCATAATGTTTTTGAGGTTTATCCACATTGTGGTACGTACCAGGACTTCATTCCTTTTTATGGCTGAATAATATTCCATTATATGGATATACCACACTTAAAATCCATTTGTGAGCTGATGGGCATTCAGGTTACTCCCACCTTTTGGCTGGTGTTATGAACAGGTGTGCACATATGCTGGAGAACCAGTTTCCAGTTCTTCTGGGTATATACCTAGAGGTGAAGTTGCTGGATCACATGGTAACTCTACATTTAACTTTTTGAGGAGCCACCAGAACTCTCCCCAGCAGTGGCACCACCTTCCACTCATGGTAGCCATGCATAAGAGCTGCTGGCACCCACTTGCCACGATGTGGAAAGAACTTGCCTGAGCACGAGGCCAATGCAGAGGCAAACCTGCACAAGCGCAGAGAGAGACAATGTCCCTATGGCAGTTTCTTGAGCAGCTGGATCTAGTTATACCTGAAGATAATCTGACCATTTGACTTTTCAGTCCTGCCATTTCTTCTTTCCATCAAAGAGTGAGTTTGAATTTGATTTCTGTCACTTGCAAATGAAAATGTCCTCAGTAATGAACCCTTTAAGCATCTTATTCAGCAGTGTGGCTGGCTCACCTTGTGCATGCTGCGGTCAAAGTCGTCCTCCTCTCCTCCAGATGAGAACCTTCGGGCTCGGGGCACTGCCGAAAGACAGCTGGGGTCAGCTCCTGCATGTGTGCCCCTCTCAGCCTGCTCCGGAGGGAGGGCCAAGGGGCAGCAGAGGAGCTGGGACAGGTGGGGTTTCCTCCACGCACCACCACTTTCCAGCTGAGTGACCCTGCATAGGTGCACTTAGTGAATGACCTGCCACTCCCTGACCACGGGCCTCCCTGAATGGAGATGCCCAGCACCCCTTTCCATTCTTGGGCCATGAGGTGCACATGAAGCTGCTGCCCAAACAGAGCTAACCAGCCACCATGCTGGGACTCTGCCTATGCTGGTGGGAGAGAGAAGTCCTTTTTCTGCCCAGTAGGAGGTAAGCCCGGACCTGCTGGAGCTCACTGTGCTGTGATGAGGGCAAAGTCAGCCTGAGAATGGAGCAACCCAATGCAGGGGACAGGACAAGTCCTGAAGATATCCACTCACTTCTAGATCCTGTTGTGCCACAAAAACTTTCAGTCACATGATCAAGAAAATCCCTAATTTGGCCTCAGCCATTTGGAATTGGTTTTTCTTTCTTTCTTTTGTTTGTCCAGTGGACACTTGTCACTGTCCACTTTGGGTTACCGTTGGGCTGCTGTCTCATCCCCTTTCTAAATGCAGACTTCCTTGAGAGTAGGGAAGGGGTAGTGTCATCTCAACTCCTCGGAAGCTTTGCTTAGAATGGACAGTCAATTAGTAAAGGTATGTATGAATCAAAATGGCACTTGATAAAAATGCCTCACCATACTGGAAAGAAATAGCTTGGGATGCCTGATTGGTGGGGGTTGCACCTTAAGGACCACTAGGACCTCTTGTCAGGGTTCCTACAAGCACCTCCCATCTGCTACACCCTCCCCTTTCAGTCCTCTAAACCAGTGTCCACCCCACGGCCCGAGTGGCATCTTACAAACACAAGTCTGATCGTGCTGTCACTTTGAATGGCTTCTTGCTGTTTAGGGTGAGGACCAAAATCCACAAGGCCTGCTGGGATCTGGCCCCTCATCACCTCCCCCACCCCACTCTAAGCTCGAGGTTAAGCTGACAGCCTTTTCTTTCCTTGGTGGAACTCACCCTCCCGTCCTGGATCTTCGCAGATGCGTTTCTACACTCGGTGGGCTTGCCTCCTCTTTACTCTTCCTGTAGCAGCAGAGTCTGCATCTGAGCAGGCTTTGTTATCTCTGGGCTGGACCGCATGCCCCTGTCATGAGCTCTCCTACCTCCTGTTTATCCCCCCTATATATCGCCTTCCTCTCTAGTTAGGACCCAGTTTTCTCCACAAGGGCAAGGACATGGCCTAGTCTGTTTGTCAGTGCTTACTTAGGGCCCATGGCGGGCCCTCAAAACATATTTGCTGAATGAATAAATGACTGATCAAGTTAAGGAGTGGGTGACTGTCCTGGCCCCTTGCATCCCTGGTGTAGGTGACAGGGCTCTGGCCTTGTCCCCCCCGTGGGGCACACTACCTTTTGGGGAGCCATGGTAGGTCCAATACTCAGACTCTGTAGCATAGTAGGGGTCTGGAGAGTAGGCTGGACTATACTTAGAGGCCTGGCTGATGTCTTCACTTGTTTTGCTCTTGGTTGCTGTTGACAAATCACCTGCAAAGGACCAAAAAGAGAAAGCTTCAGGGAGGCAGAGCATTCTAGACTAGTGTCCTCTACACTCTATCCCATGTCTCAGCCAGCCTGCAGCCCAGGGGAGTGAGGCCACTTTGAGGCCAGGGTCTGGGGTGTGGAGAGCACTGGAGCTGGAAAAGTACTGAGTCTGAGGCTCGCATTTGCCACTCGGAAAGCTGAATACCAGAGAGGGGAAGGCACTTGCTCAGGACCACAGAGCAAGTGAGACTAGAACTGGATCAGACCCTAGCTTAGGACTCCTTCTACCACATTCCATGGACTCCCCAGTGTGCTCCTAAGTGAACAAATACTAAGGCCACGGCTTCTTCAAGGAAGACTAGACATGTCCCAGCTGAGCCCTTGCCCTAGGCTTCCTTCCCCTCCAGAAGCCTGCCTTGTTGTGGACAGGAGCCACATATCTATGGTGGGAGTTGGCCAGCAGGGCCTTGCGGCATGTTGAGTCAGATTGGCCTTCTCACCCCGAAATGCCAAATCCTTCCTGGGGAGATTATGTGGGTCGAAGGAGGGAGCACCGGACAGGGAGTCAGCAACACTAGGTTCTGCTCCCAGCTCTGCCACTTAACTCACTTGTAACGCTGGGAATATCCTGCCCCTCTCTGCCTCAGTTTCCCCTTCTGTGAGCATTAGAATTGGTCTGTTGGCTCAGGTGCCATCCAACTTCAAGCTTCCACGTGAATTCTACAGCATGGGGTGAACACCAAAGTTTTATTGCAGCCATAAAACCTTCTGGATGGTGACTTTAGCATGTGCCAAAGACTGGCTAGAGGCTGACCTGGGCAGAGAGAGGCCTGGGGAAATGAGCTTGGCTTCAAGGTAATTCCTCAGGGGAGAAGCTATAGGGACAAACTCGACACTCTGGGCAGCCAGGGTTGCAGAGGTCCTGGGATTGCCCTCAGCCAGCTCCAGGCTCTGTGCTGCACCCCGCCCCCCTCCGCCTCCCTCCTACTGCACCAGCAGCACTTGCTCCCAAAGCTCCAGTTCTTTTCGATGTGGGTCCCACCCCAGTTAATCTCATTCAGCTCTTTCATCTGCCCTCTAATTCACTCAAACCACCTCCACCCCAGACCCCATACTTTTGTGCTGCCCCTCAGGGTCATCTGGGAAGTTCCACGCAATCCTGAAGGTTTTGGATCTGGGGGCCTTTTTTGGATATAAAGTCAAACTAACTTTGTCAGGGTTGGTGACTCTCTGTTTCCACTTGGGGCACATGGTATGACCTCTACACCCACACATAGATATGCACGTGCTCACAGACCCCCCCTTGATCCCTGCCCAGCCCCTCCAAAATAGAGGACATTTGTTTAAATTATTAGTACTCAGAGCCACTATTAATACTTGTATTTCCCATTCTACCAGCTTGGTGAGTTCAGATCTAAACACAGCCACTTCTGATGGCTCATGCTCCACTAACTGTTATCCAGTAGACCCATAGGCACATAAAGGTGACAGGGTGGCAGCTGTGCCTCTGCATCCTCCACTAAGAGATTCGCTTATTCAGATGAGGCTCAATAATTGCTTCTGTAAGAGCCGCCAGTTCTCAGTGCTGAGTGACTGGGTGTCAGTGTCCTGGGTGCACCTCTCCCAGGGGTTTGCTGACAGGGGTGGGGGGTTGGGAAAATGGTAGCAAAGGATTTAGGGAATATGAGGCCTTCCTTGCCCTTTTAAAATGTCACCAAACTCTTCTCCAATGTCACCTGGAGCGATGGGAGGGCAGTCAACCCAGCCTTGCATGTGTCCCTCCTGGTGACCCATGCAGAGCCATCTGCGCGGACGTTAACTGCCCCACACCCCTTGCCTGGCCATGCCCTCTCTGCCTTCGACCGTACCATGCCGTTTGTAGATCGGAGGTTTCCGGTAGATGTTACTTTCTCCAGCTGCCGGACAAACCCAGAAGAGACAGTAGGGAGGAGAGAGAGAGAGACAGGAAAAAAGAAGACAGCAGTTGGTCAGTGGATCTCAGAAGAGAGAGATGGACAGCAAGATTTCCCAAGTGTCCACCATCTTTTCCCTGGTGGACTTCCTCTTCCAAAGCTGAACTTCCAACCTCATACCATCGGGTTCCAAGAACAGGGAGGGGAAAGGAATGGGTGGATTCGAATGGTCCTGGGGAAGGGACTTGGGGCTTGAATGGTGGGCATGCAGGCAAAAGGTAGGCATGTGCTCAGCAGGGCCCCATGCAGGAAGGTGTCCACTGCCTCCACCCGGCGACCACGCCTCATTCCACGTGAAAGTGCCCAGAATGCGGCAGCCGCGGTTCAGAATGATCCCCCTCACTTCCTCAAAAACAGACAGGATGGGACCTCTCTGGGGCAGCTGAGAAAGGTGTAGATGAAACAGCAGGACGAGCTCCTGGGGAAAAGTGGGAGAGGAGGGAAAACCTGGGCCCAGAGTTGGGAGACTAGTCTAGGCCCAGCTGTGCCATAATTTAGAATGAGATCTTGTCTAAATCACACTTGCAGGGTCACCTATCACTGTCCCTCATGCTCACTACCTCTAGCTACACTGGCCTGCAGCCAGTTCAGTGTTTCAGGGCCTTTGTCCTTGCTGTTTGCTCCACTGGATGTTTTTCCCTGGGATCTTCACAAAAATGCTTCTTCCTCATCTCTTGGCTTCAATGTCACTGCCTCCAAGAAGCCCCTCCTGACTATCCCACCTAGCCCAGCCTCCCCCACCCCAGTCTCTCTGTCACACACCCTGTTTTGTTATGTTTCTAGCACCTACCATTGCCTGAAATCACCCTTTTACTCATTTGTTTACTCATTGATGACCTCCCTCCCCACACCGAGACATAAATACCATGAAGGCAGGATCTGGGCTTGTTTAAGCACAACTGCAGCCTCAGGTGCCAGAGGAGTGCCTGGCTGTAGAGGAGAAGTAACAGGCTCACAGAAACTGAGTAACTGGCCTGAGGTCACCAGCTTACACATAAGAAGCAGGATGGAGATTTGGTCCCAAGAGTTTTGATGCAGAAGTCCCTATTTTCAGCCTGATCCCAGCTGTGTCCCACCATGGCCCCTAGACATCTCAGGCACTTCCCTGGGATGCTCCCTGGCAGCTTCCTGACCAAGGCTGATTCTCTCAAGTGAGTGGACTAAAGACTGGGTATGTTGGGGCCGGAGGGTGGATTACTCAGAGTGACTGGTTAGGGAGGGTCCCTAGGAGCCAGATTCTCCTCGGTGCCAGTGCAGGGTGCCTGGCGATCCCGGGAAGCATGCATCCATGCCGGGCATTCTGGGCTGGCAGCCTACCTGGGATGTGAAAGTGCTTGGGAGCCTGGTAAGAGGTTGGAGTGGAGGACCTCACATCTAACTGGCTATGGTATGGAGAGCTCCGGCCGCTCTCAGGCCCTGGAGCACACAGGCAGCGGTCCCCAGAGAGAAGAGAGGCAGAGAAAACAGGCATTAACATGGTAGTGGTTCAGGCAGCAGTGAGGTGATGACGGCCAGGACGGCGGGGAGGCGGCTGTGCGCTCATGCACTATTGGCGGGAACAGGCTTAGCACTGTTTTCTAGCTCCGCCCCAAAGTCAGAATTTGTGGGTCGTTAGAGTCAACTCCACCAAGCTTCAAGAAGGCATTTCACCCCACCCTCCCCACCTACCTCCTCCCTTAATTGCTCTACTTGCTTCACCTGCAACCTCAGGTCTGGCTGTGGACAACCTGACTGGCCTCGGTGGGGCTGGGCTGTTGAGCGAAGGCCAGGGCACAAACCCATTTCTGGTCCTCTGGTTCCATCCTCTGGATGGACGGGCCTAAGGATGAGGGCTGTGTCTTCTTCCAGATAGGGGCATTGGGCTGCCTGCCACTCCCCTCTCCTAGAAGCTCACCACCCATTTTCCCACAGCCTGTCTTCCTTTCCCCTGCCAAGGGCATCTGCAGGGGCTCAGTGAGGCCCAGCTGGTCACCAACCAGGGCGGCCACAGGCCTGTGGAGGCCATTCTGTGATGGGGATCTCGAGGAAGCCCTGTTCTGTCTCTGCAGCTGGGGACATCAAGCCACTGTGTTGTCTCCCTGGCTCTTCCTGTCCCTTTGGGGACTTCCCCCTTCCTTACCAGAGCGGTAGTAGTGGTGAGGTGAGCGGGAAAAGGTGGGGGACATGCCCTGGCGGCTGTAGGTGGGGGAATCGATGTATCCTGGGCTGGAGGCCCGCCTCTGCCGGAGGTCCAGGTTCTCGTAGATGTCCTGGGGGAGGAAGTGGGGCTGTGAGCAAGGCCACCAATGAGGCGGGCCTACGGCCCAAGGTTCTGTTAGGCAGATGGGGGAGTGACAGGGAATCCAGGATTCTTGGTACTGCCCTTCTGAATACAGAGGTCCCCACCCTGGGTTACAAGCACAGCCCAAGGAAGGGTGCAGAGAATTTTCAGGGTCTTCACCCATCACTCAGAGGCTCTTGAATGGAACCTGTGGGTCAGGTCCCTGGAACCCTGGCCAAGGTTCTCAGAAGCATTGGGGGTCATCTCCGGGTAGAAAGGGCCCATAAGGTTTGCTCCCAATTGTTTCTGCCCTTTATGCCACCACCACTTCCTCCAGATTGTACTTCTGTCTGCATATCACTGCCTGGTTGGGTCAAGGGCTCATGTCCCTTGGGAGGGTTAAGGAGGGGTGAATCAGGGGCCTATTTGGTCAGCATAAAGGGACACCATTATATAAAAGGTCTCCCCATACTGGCTTAATTACCTGAGAGTAGGGAGATAATGTTCCCAGCGACTTAGAAGTGAAAAGTTTGAAGGCAGTCATGAAAGAAGAGAGAAGAGGGTGGGAGAGAGGGACAGACAGCAGTTAAATGGTTCAGCAAAGAGAGGTCCTCTGCCACCCCTTGGCCTCCCTCTCCAGGTAACACCCTCACTTAGAGTTCCAGGATATTGGCTGTGCTGACAGGTAGCAGGAAACCTTGAGACTGTGCCTTCCTTTTGCAAATGGGAAACCCACGGCCCAGAGGGGGAATGGAATAGCTCAGGGCCCCTCAGGAAGTGGCACAGTCTTTTCCCAGACTCAGGCTTCCCCACTGCAAGCTCAGTCATTTCCCAACATTTTGTCTCTTTACCAGTTCATGCCCCTCTGTGGTTCATGAGGGTAGTGCCCAGGGCAGGGGATACAAAGGCAGGGCCAAGCAAGGGCCAGCATGGCACCCTCGGCATGGGAGTCGGGCCAGTGGGTGGTGCGGCAAGCTGGAGATGGAACATCCCATCTATAGAGGGCAGCTCAGCCCCAGCACCTCAGGGCCAGGCTGGGATGCCAGCCCTATGTTAATAAAGCTTCTTAAGTTTCCAAGACAGGTTGGAAAGGCAAATTCTTATGTGAAATCTCCCAATGTTTAAATGTTGGAAACCAATTTACATTTTTAAAAGGTATTTTGTGAGTGAAACAAAACAAATTTCAGGGCTGGGTGGGGCTTTGGGGCCTAATGTGCCAATCTCTGCCCTCAGGAGAATCAGCTTCTACCAAACGTGTGGTCCCCTTTCCTGGTCCATTTCAGGGGCTAGAACCCAGAGAGTCTCAGTACTGGCTCTCAAACCAGATGGAAGCCAATTCCTTTAGAGAGGAAGGGGATTGGGGGGGGACGACACAGTGGTGGAACAGGGACAGGAACCCGGGTCTGTGCCCCCAGGCCTGGGGTCCTTCTGAATGTTCTTTCATTCAGCAACCACTTATTTATTTCAAAATCCAGCTGACGCTGAGATTTTATGAGTTTCTCTTGTGTTCTGAGCACAGGGACTTATGGCCAGGTGAAAAAACCAGAGAACCTACTAACCAGGGATCACCAACCCAAATAATCACTAAGTGTGGCAGAGGACAAGAGCCACGGGCTGTGTGTGAAATTTCTCCAGTGTAAAAAAAACAATTGTTCCAATGAAAAGCAGTCACAGGTTCTCAGCTTCAATGCCAGGGCTCTTGGGGAGTGGTGGGGACTCGGGAGAACTGGAAGCCCACCTCCAGTCTACATAGCAGGCACTGCTTCCCACCTCTGGATGGTGGAAATACTGGTGTGGTGTCACCACCTCTAATTTTTCAAGAAAAGCCCCATTTTTGGATGAAATCACCTGATTTTTAAATGTTGACTGTAAACTCCAGCTTAAAAGAGTCTCAGGAGCAACATTGTGGAAAGCAAGGTGTCTGTGACAGCGGGGACCGGGGACCCCATGGGCCCTCCTCTCCTCTGACGGCCCCAGAGAGAGGGGCAAGATGCCGTACCTCTCCATAGCCACATCTCTCCAGCATCTCATCGGACGTGTATCTGGAATGAGGTTCGTAGGAAATGAGGTCGGGGCGTTGTACCTCGTAGATGGATTTAACCTTGGGGAGAGCTGCCAGGTCTTTGTAATTAAGGATCTCATTATCCACTTTAGCCTGGGGAAGAAGGAAATGGACAGGAAAGAAGCAGAAAGATAAGAGGGAAAGGAGAGAGGAAACAAAACCCAGGCATAGGGAGAAGGAGCTTCTCCAGTTTCCACTAAAAACAAAGCTTTAGGATGGAAGACTCACAGGATGTTAGAATAAGACAGGTCTGAGAGGCCATCCATTCCAACACTGCTTGTGTGCATATGATGTGTGACTCTGTGAAGTGTCAGTATTATTCCTATTTTCCAGATGGGGAAACTGAGGCTCCAAAGATTCTGCAGCTCTCAGCACTTAGCCAGTAGGTTCAAATCTAGTCTGATCTACACAGCCTAGGCACTGACAGTCTTCTGACCCCCCAGAGTGAAGATACCCCATTCACAGCTTCCTTGGTGAAGATAGTGAAGATGGTAAACACAGAAACAATCATGACAGAAAACACTAGCTAACATTTGGTGAGAACTTACTATGAGCCAGACACTGTTCTGAGTCCCTTGTATGGACTAACCATTAGTTCATACAACTCACAACTCTAATAGTAGGACTAATATTAGCTGCACTTTTGAACAAGGAAACAGGCACAGAGAAATCAATGAACTTGCCTAAGGTCACATAGCTAATAACTAGCCAAACCAGAATTCAAACCCAGCCAGTCTAACCTGAGAACCGGCCCTCTTTGGTGGCCTCTTTTAGTTCTCCAGGGTGGGGAGTTCACTGGCTTACAGCTGTCAAGGGGCTGCACCCAGAAAGCTGCTCCTTACGCTGAACTGAACTGAGCCTCTAACTACTTCCTGACTTTGCCTGAGTTCAGTTCTCTAGAACTGCATGGATGAAGAGACCACTTCCTCTTGCATGGGTCAGCCTGTGTCTCATGGTTCCTAAATCTGTGTTCTTTCCATGTTTGTATCCTCCAGTGGTTCCTTCTGTGGCCTGGTTTCCTCTGTGGTTAATGAGGGTCTGTCCCCCCCATAACTACTATGGCTCCTAAGGTCCTGAGGTGAGGAAAGTTAAGAGAGGCCATGACACAGGGAATCCAAGGGCATTATGTTGTCCTCATAACGTTCTCCCGATGCTTTGAGAGACAGGTAAGTCTCAGGGCCAAGACTACTGTAGAGAACAATTTTTATAAAGACCTTAGAAACATTGGTATTTCAAACACTTCCCAAAGCCCTTCACTATTTCATCCCTGTCCCATCCCACTGCTGTTTGGGCACTGTGCCATTCACTCCCCTTTGCCCCAGGCTTCCTCCTCGCCCCAATCTAGACTCTGAGGCCCTGTGGATTGTATCACAGGCTCCTTTTGTTCAATTGGGTTTGGCCCAAATGGGGCGTCTGCAGAGTGGGAGGTGAATGAAGAGGCTGTGTACCTGTCTTCTTTGCACCTGCTCTGCCTGGTGGTGACTGGGCACAACTCCTTCTGGACTGCTCTTCCACAGCTCCAGCTGTTACCCACCTTTCCCTTTGCACTGAGGGTGGTGACAGCTCCCCACTCCTGCGATCCCTGATGCTGCCCTCTGTGGGCATCTGCTGCAAATGCATCTGTGCCAGTTTGGGGTGTGGGTGTGGAGGGCACCTTATTAGGAGAGTCTACTGGCTGAAGTAGCTGCTGCCTTTCATTCTGGGATGTAGATCTTGACCTTGAGAGCTCTTGGCGTCTTGCAAACTTGTTTCAACCCATCAATATTTATCTGAGCACTTTACTACAAACCTCAGAACCATTAAATTTATATTTCCTTCTACAGCTGCCTTGCTGACAGGTTATAAATGAGTTTACGGTGATTGGACAGAGGCGTCCTAACATAATTGGCCAGAAAGGAAGGAAGAGACCAGTGGAGCTGGTCCAAGTCTAGTCACCTGGAGATGATTCTAGTAGTCAGTGGGGCGGGTATAGAGCCAAGTTTGAAAGAACCTGTCCCCTCCAGATACATTAATAATCCTATTTTAACACCAAACCTCTGTATCTGTAAAAGTTAAACCAATACTCTATCTTTATGCCTGCTATTACCTGTCCCAAAAGTGGTTGGATGGCTTCTTCTCTAAATTTGGAAGCCATATTTGGAATGGTCTGACTTAAAACATGGCTCACATGACATGCACACTCATTCCCCAGGGTAGCTGAAGGTGAGGTGCCATTAAGGGGAGAGCAGGAGAATATAGAAGGGCAAACACATGCCTATGCTCAGATGTGGGGGTGACTGATCTCAATGTATAAGCCCCCAGCTGGAGGGCACAGTGGCAGGTGTCCCTGTTGCTGTTGTTCATCTGGAGTGGAGCTGCTTCTCTCAGGGGCAGCCCTACGAGCTCTCTTCAGGCTGCCAAGGTGAACAGCATCAGTGCTGAAGTTACTTCACAAAAGTTAGCAAGGCTCCTCAGCAGCCCAGGGGAGACCAGCTAGGGATGCAAGGCATTATCGTGCAGCCTCGGCATATCCTGAGCTCCCATACCTTAGTAACTCTCCTGGAGACAGCCCCACTTTGGTCAATAACCTTCTCATGGTGGAGGACCTGAAACTAAGCCCATTAATCCTGACGTAGTCTGGCCCCATTCATAGCACCAGGGGGGACGATCATCTCTCCTGTTCTGGACAGGAATCTTCAGTGAGGACAGCCCATGATCATAATCACTTGTCTTTGTGGGAGCCGCATGGCAGCACTGACCCATATTGAAGTTACAGTCAATGATCACTGTTACATCTTTTTCTTTCTTTCATTTGAACAGAGGAAGAAAGGAAACAGTTCCATCACTGGCATTATCCAGTGATGAAGGAGGACACTGGATGTGCATTTGGAGCAAAACAATGATCTCCCAATGATGGGCAGGGCCCACCCGGGGCTGGCTGTGTCTCCAGACCCTCATTAGGGTTTCCTGCTCTAGGTACCTCCCTGCCCACATTCTGGTCTTCTTAGTTCCTTTGGCTTGAGAAGGGCTGAAACAGTCTGGCGTCAGCCATACCGAGGTTCGTGTACCATCAGGACCCTCCTCTGCTCTTCGTGGTCCTCTGGCTCTGCCTCCTCCACCTCCTTTATCTTACTTCTATTCATCCCTCAGGTTTGAGCTTAAATGTTTCTTCTTCCGATTCTTCTCCCAACTGGTCCTAGATTGTCAGGTCTCCCTGTTCATCTGCAGCATCGTCAGAGCACCCTGCACTTTTTCTTCCTAGCACTTTATCGGAACTGCCCCTGATTATCCATGGAATTAGGAACTCAGTTGTTATGCTGCAGGTTGGTGCGGTTCACCACCATCTCCTCAGTGCAGAGCACAGCACGTAGGGGAGTAGATGCTCACTCAGCATACATTTGCTGAATGAATGAAGAAAAAGTGAGTGAATAAATTACATATCCAAGGGACCTCTAAGGTCCTCTGACTCAACTCTTGCCCCTTTTGCCACATCTGTGGCAATGAGAGTGTCTCTGTGTTTGAATGCCTCTAGAGATGACAGCTCAGACTCATGGCTGAGGCTGACTCCATCCCTGGACTTCTTACATGATTAGGAAGCTCTTCTTTTTGTTTGCAAATCCTCCCCAGCCATGTTTCCACATCCATGTGGCTTCTTCCTCCTTTCTGCCTCTTTATCACACACCACTGTCTCCACATTGACATCCCATGTAATACCTGCTCTAGTTAGAGCCCTGATCCTAAATTTTCATTTTGCCCTTCTGTCAGGCAAGTAATGGGGGAAGGATGTGCTGTTTCAGAGCTTGTCAGGGCTCCTGCTTTTGCTGCAATTATTCGTGTTCCTACTGATCCCAGCATTATCCCTGTAAGTCTGTCTTTACTAAGCCGCACGCCCCCTAAAGGCAGGAGTTGTGTCTCTCCCTGTCCCCCACTGTATCCTCAGGACCCAGCGCAGAGCCCAGCATGTGACAGTCCACACTAGATAACAGTAGATATCACTGGGATGAAAACTTGACAGCTGCCCTTGGAACCTCTTTTAGATTCCAGGCTGAGGGATAAGGAAGTCCTTTCAGTGGCTGCAAAGTGATACCTACACAGATGACTCGGTTGGGTGACCCAATGCTGGATCCAGGGGGTGAGATGGAAGTTTCAGACGTCCGTCGGTGCTGCGGGAGAGACGGGGACAGAGGGTGAGAAGCTGTGCTCTGATTCGGGGGGAAGGGGGAGACAGGGTGTATGCGTGCAGCTTTCAGGGGATGTTAGCAACACTATTGAAAGCACTCTCTGGCTATTTCTGCACTTTTTCTTTCTTTTCTGCCTTTTAAAGTGATGTCTGTGTGAATATAACCAGAAGTGCACAAGATTTTAGGCTGTCGGACTGAATATGAATTTGTTTATATATATATATATGTCATCAGCCTCTTAGATAGTAAGTTACTCATAAAACTTTTTATATGGGTTAATCCCAGTCAATAGTGTATTTACTTTAAATGAATAAAGTTTGTTAGTTCTCATTCCTTAACAGTTTGCTTATATTGCACAAAATATAAAAGTAGGTTAAACTTCATGTAATTGCATAATATACTGATTATTTATCATATATTCACTGCAAATTTACATTGACCTAAGTGATAAGCTTAAAAAATCTCTCTCTAAACAATGGAAATGAGGGACTGATGGCTTTTTTAGCAGAACAATGCTATGTCAATCTTAGTGCATCTCAGAGAGTGGCAGCCTATTGTGGTTAAACAGTAAACAGATCGGACAGCAATAAGGACCAGTAAGATACTGTGTGATTTTAGGAGTCTCGAATTCCTGGCCTGTCCAGTGAAGGGGTTGGTCTCGGATTGCTAAACTCCTTTTCAGGTCTCTGGTCCTACCATTCAAAGCATTCTAAGCAGGGCTATACAGCAATGGTTCCCAAAGTGTGGACTGTGAACAAGTGTATCTCTGGGGAGATACATTTAGGTGGAACATTCCATAATACAGAGTCCTAGAGTGAGAGAATAAAATTTAAAATTCTCTTCAAGCCTCTCAGATCAAGAAGGCAGTCTTAGTTTGATGCTAATACATTTCAGAACTGCCTTGACCATTGCTAGCTCCCCAGCGTGCCACCCTTTTCTTTTTTAAACAAAGAGATTTCAGGCAACATTATGTAGCCAGACTTTCCAAGATGTGTTCTTAAGAATTGTTTCATTTTCATTGAATTTATTTTATGGTTACCTTCTATTTACAACAAGTAATACTGGTTTTCCACTTGGTGATATAAAGCTGTGTTTTAAAATAAATTTAGTTAAGTAACAATTAGTGAATTGATTTAAAGAACAAGAAAAATATTAAGCACATAATGATGCAGGTGGCACATAGATACGGCAAAAAGCATCAGGGCTGTAGAAGGATGACTGAAATTTGAGAAATGTCACCAAAAAGGAGGAAATTGAGGAAGAAAGGGATAATTAGGACTTCTTACACCTTGAAAGGGAGAGAAGCCTTAGAAGAAACAAGAAAAAAACCTCATGGTTCAAAAAATTATCTATCAGTTAACTGGCTCTTTCCCCAAACTACGTTAGACGGATGAGATGGCAAAGGAGACGACACTATATGCATGTGGACTTAGCTGAGACTCTAGCAGGGAACTTTAAATGCAGTCCCAAGGGACCGAGTTGATATCTGGTGGCCAGAGTGTAGGGACATTCTAGAGGTCTCTGAGTGGCCTCCCAGCCCCACCACACCCCAGGTATCTCCTCCACAGCACCAAGGACCAGGAACTCGGTGAGCCCTGCTCTGCAGTTATTAGATCATGAATCCAAAGTCACAGGACCCTCTGGTGCTTTTCAGAGCAGAGTAATTCCGAGGGATGCGGGACCTCCGCTGGCCCGGCGTATGCCTGGAGACTCTGGCTGTGTTTCTGCCTGGTTGTATTACTGTGGGCAAATCGCTGCCTTCCTTAGACCTTGGTTTTCTCAAGTAAAGCAAAGATAAAATGCCTTGCCCCACCCATCCCACAGGGTTAAAGAAATGAAATCAGACAGTGACTTTGAAGATCTTTTGCAGACTCTCAATCTCTGAGACAATATTAACTACTATTGTTAATAAATGACCTTAGGTTGGGGTATATCGGGGAGGCTGCCATCTTCGGAAGCCATGGTTAGGGTATAGGCTCGCCCCAGGAATACTTAAAAACTCACATTAAGACATTGCTGTATAGTTTTCACAGTGTTATCATGTCCATATTAACCCCTCCAAAGCCCCCTGAGGTGGATGTTACCATTAAGGAAATCCGAGGATACAGGCACACATTTTGGGAGTGTGCACACAAAGAATGAGTTCCTAGTAAAGCACGGTGCCCCCGAACCATTGCAAAAAGTAGGCAGGCTTGCTTACCTTTAACTTCTTCTCTGCCCGGGCTGCCTGTTTGCAGATTGGGTGCCAAACCTCAGAACCTAGGGGCCAGGAAAATAACAAAGGCTCAGACCTGTCACGCCTATCAGCACTGAAGTCTCTCCTCACCTCCCCCACCTCTGTTTACTCCCTCAACAGCCTGTGTGCCCTACACAGCAACCAGGAGGGTCCCTGGTTTTCCTGGCTCTCTGCTGCTGCACAGATCCAACCACCCATGCAGTTTTTCTGCCCTTGAAAATCCTACTCATTCCTTAGGGGTCAAGTCTCACATGACATCTTCTTGCAAACTTTCTTACCTGCCAGCTGAGAGTGACTTCTCTCTCCTCTGTGATCCATAGTTCTTTTGTATCTCTCTCAACACAGCTGGCCTTAAATCATAGTAGCCTGTGGATTTATTACCCCCACTAAATTAAGAGCTCCTTCCAGGCAGGAGCTGGGCTTTACTCATTAAAGCTATCTAGCTGCTGGGTCTCCCACAGCATCCAGCACAGGACATCGCTGATAGAGGAGTCTATGTAAGTGTTTGTGGGGGAATAGATGAGTGGAAGATCGGCAGTGAGTGACACATAGCAGGTGGTCAATAAATGTATGCTGAATAAATGAATGGCAGTAGAGGTGAAATAAAGTGATAGACTGTGGTGAATTCCAGCCTGCTTTCCTCTTCAAAGACTTATGACAGTCTCCCAGAGCTATCAAATTTAAGGGGAAGAAGTGTCAGGATGTATAGTCTGCTTAAGAGCATTGTCTTGACCTTCTAATTCCTAAGAGACTCCAGACTCTTCCAATTTAGTATATTGCATTTTATTGTGGGTGAGAAGCCAGTTGGCCAGCCCCAAACTGAGAGGCCAATTTGGGAAGGCATGAACAACAGGTGGCCAGTCACATGTTGGGAAGGAGCCCCAAATATTACACATTCCCCAAAGAAGGAACAGGTGTCCTGGCTTAGAAGAAAAAAATAGGAACATATTATCCCATTGGTGCCATTCCTTTTCTAACCAGCCCTAGAAGGAAAGGAGCCAGCAAATGGCTAGATTCCTGAGCACCCAGATGGCATTTGTTTGTCTGACTTTTTTAAAAAAAATATTTTATTTATTTATTTTTTGAGACAGGGGAAGGGAAGGAGAAAGAGTAGGAGAGAAATATCAATGTATGGTTGCCTCTCATGTGTCCCCCGCTGGGAACTGGCCTGCAACCCAGGCATGTGCCCTGACTGGGAATTGAACCGCAATACTCTGGTTCGCAGGCCCGCGCTCAATCCACTGAGCTACGCCAGCCAGGGCTGTCTGACTTTTTTAGGGTATACTCACCACTGTAGTTTGTTGCCTGGAGCCCCAGGGCTGTAGTACTGGCTGAGTGACAGGGGGTGGTTTAAGGTTGCACAATCAGACCCCAGAGTGCAGTGCAGGGAAGATGGGCCTGGAGTGGGGAGCCCTGGTTCTTGTTTCTGCTCTGCCCCAACACCTCCTCCTTACGGGTCCCTGGTTTTTCATTTGAATAACGACGAGGTGGGGTTTGGATGGTCTTGGAGATTATCTTTATCTCCAAAATTCTAATTTTAGGGCCATTTTGTCATTTGTGAGATAGGGATCTTAGATTCTTGTTTGCTAATCTTCTTGGATGTTCCCTAATGATTCAACATGAGTTTAATTCCTTCTACGTGAAATGCAGTGGCTCTCAAAGCCCAGTAGGGGGACTCTGAGTCTGCAGCTCCATCCAGAACCTCAGGGTGTGTCTACTACAAAGGGGTGGGTGGGGACCCTTGCTTCGGGGAGTTATTAGAGAGAGCATTTCCGGGCCCTGTCTGAGTTGCGGCTGAAACCAGGAGGAGTTGTTTACACTGGGGCTCTGGCAGGAAGCACATGTTTCAGGTCACTGTAGGAAGAGGATGAGGTGGACACAGATGTCTAAGGTCATGGGATTCAGTGAAAGAGGCATAGGAAAGGTAAAGGGTCAGGCACAAGTCCTCATGGGGGGAAATCATGTGGAAAGAAAGGGAGGGGGTCAGATGAAATGGTCTCTCTGCATCACTGGTATATCTGTTCTGAAACAAAGCTGAGCCACAGTTGGCTTCAGCTCTCCACACACAGGAAAGCAGGTTTATAAGATGTGAGGGCTGAGAATTGAAAGAGAAAAAGAAAATATAATAGAATATGAAAAAAAAGAAGTTTGCAAATTAATTTTGGCAGACTATCATTTAAATTAAAGAGGGGAGAAATTTGTTGGTAGTTAGCAATAAACTTCAATAAGTGAAGGTAAGAAAAGATGATTTGTTCACGAAGACTCCTATGAATTGTAGTCTGCGGACTTCTGCCTTTGGTTAATAGCTCTCCAGTGTGGCACTGACAGAAAGGGAACACCCGGGGTGAAGGGGAGGTTATTCTCTTCACTGGGCTTTATCCCCACAGCCTAAAATAGTGTCTGGCTCACACGGGTTTAATGAAGAAACAGAGGAATGACTGATTGGTTCCCACCTTTGTGTTTTAAAAAAAGACAGTGAAATGCACCCAGAAGATGATGTAACCATAACAGAAGAGTTAAAAGAATTAAAAAAAATATTTTAATGCTTCTCTGTGGGAAGAGGGATGAATTCATTCACCATGTCTTGTAAAGGAGAGCAAGGAGCAAAGGCAAAAGTTTTGGGGAAAGAAAATTTAACATCTGAAGTTTGAGTGGGCTTATGCTGCAAGTGGGCTTCCTGCCCCTGGAAGTACTTAAGCTCGCACTGGGTGTGTGAATGCTTAGCAGGGATGTTGTTGAAGAGATGCATCAGGTGGTGCTCACACTCACAGACGTTTACAATCCCTCCCAACCACGGATATTTTATGTTTCCATCTTAACAGACTTCTCTGTATAGAAAGATAATTATTTACCCCTACCCCATGACCTTGACTAGACTATAAGTTCTATAAGCAGCAGGATTCATATCTGTCTTATCTACAGATATTCCTGCAGGGACAGCAGATCCTTAACTAACAGACACTGAGTGAATGAATACACAAACGTGCTATGCTGTTTTAGGCCAGTTGAATTCTCTAAGCTGGGCTCAGAGATTTGGACAAGTGGTAGAATCTGGACTCTGCTTTGACAGCTACGATTTCAGACTGGGTATCTATAAGAATATTCACTAGCTTGGGGTGTGTTGCAGTGTGACTCATGGACCACCTGTCTGGCAGCCTGGAAACATGCAGATTCCTGGGCCTGCAGAGGTGCCCCTATAGCCAATTTTCTGAAGGTGGGCCCTGGGAATATGTGACTTTGAACAAGCTCCCCAGAGGATTTATGACTGTAAATTGGAGAACTGCAGGGTTACATAGTGGCTAACACTCCACATTTGTTCCCGTGGAATGTCATGGAATAAAGAAATAAATTTTACAAGGTAGGACTCTTTAACTTCCTGTAAAAACTTGACACTTTGCTTGTCCAACTTCTGGTTCCATGAGTCACTGAAACTGTCACTCACATTTCCAGGTTCTGCAGTTACAACCTCTGTAAAGGTTATGGATGTGAAGCATTAGCCATTTCTGCACCAGCTGAATCGAAGATAGAGATCTCATTCCCTAAGGCCGTGCCTGCGCCAGGAACTCAGGCTGTTCACGATCCCCAGCAGCGTCAGCACGCAGTCTTATCTGACTGGCTATGGCGCCTGTGGCATTTGGGACTGACTTCATGTTTGGTAACCCACTCACCTCTCTGTTGGACGCTGAAATTCCATTTGCCAACTCTTTCATTTTTTTTTTTTTTTTTGCATTAGTGGGTATTTCATGACCAAACTGAAGCTGGGTGCCATAGTTTCCCAGAATGCCTCTCTGGGGTTACACACAGAACAGCGACTGGAGCTGGCCCACTGAGGGTTCTGTTTGGGCCACACAGTGTTTTCTTAAGTATTTTTTAGTGTAAATGCTCTGAGATCCTGCAGGTGGCCAGGGACCCTCTCTGCTGGCTGTCTTCCGGCTCTGCTCCCTCACTTAAGTAGTTTAAAGCAGGTGGTTGAATTTTCAACCCCTAATCCATGTCAGCTTGTTCTCTTACAGCAGGTTTCCGCTCTGGATTTCTCTTGGCCGTAGTACGGTGAAATTTCCGAGTTCTGCCTTATGTGGGCAGCACTCCCTTGGTGCATAGACTTGCTAGGACTTTGGGACGGCTCCTTTAAAAGCCCTGCCTCTAGATAAACAAGTGTGGTGTATCCATAGAGTGAAATATTATTCCACCATAAAATGGAATGAAACATTGAGACATGCTACAATGTGGATGAACTGAGAAAGTATCATGCGAAGTAAAAGACACCAGATATGAAAGGCCACGTATTATACGATTCCATCGATATGAAATAACCATAATAGGTAAATCTATAGAAGCAGAAAGCAGATTGGTGGTTGCCAGGAGTTAGGGTGAAAGGATATGAGGAGCAATTGCATAATGGGTATGGGTTTTCTTTTGGGGTGAGGAAAATGTTTTTGGGACTAGCTAACGGTGGTAGTTCACAGCACTGTGAAGGTACTAAATATCACTGACCTGTATGCTTAAAAATGGTTAATTGTATGTCATGTGAATTCTTCATAGGTATGTATGCACAGGAAAAATAGTACATATAGGTTTCCACATTATCCGTGGTTTCAGACATCCACAGGGGTCTGGAACGTGTGCCTGGCGGATAAGAGCGGACACTGTACATGCAGAGCACTTAGAATGGTGGCTGCCTTTTGGGGGGCACAGTGGAAGAGATAGTGGTTTTTGTTATTATTACTTTCTCTCCCCTACTGAAAATCTGTTTGCCAGGATCCAGTGTGGGTAAGGGGAAAGCAGTAAGGAAAGACTGCTTTCCTGGTGGTGGGTAGTGTTTACTCTCCGACTCCCGGAGCTGGGGCCTGGGTGAGCGAGGGCCTTGCAGCAAGCTGTGCAGGTGGAGTCACTAAGCAGAAGCCTGACTTGGCTGCCAGCATGCCCTTCTGGGAGGTTGGGCTCGTGCCCAGGGATGAGGGCACCTCAGGAGAAGTGGAGAAGACCAACTTGCCTGCAGCTGACATGATCAAGAGGGCTTGAA